GCCCAAATTAGCCACGGTTGGCTAAATAAAGCCTCCATCAAGTTGAGCGAAGGAACAATCCTGCTGGTTTCTTGGCCTCGTCTCAGAAAACATTTGCAACCTTCCAAGACAGTTATTTATTTATTTATTTATTTATTTATTTAGTGTCGAGTCATGAATGCATTGGCACTGAAAGCTTTTCCCAAAAATAAAATTAAAAAAACAGCAACCTTCCATTGAATCCTGAAGACATTACTCCAGATGGCTGTGGATTATGGAAGTTGGTGTCCAATATTTTTGAAAGGCACCAGGTTAGGAAGGATACAAATCTCTGAGGCTTGAGAGATGCGTAGAATTCAAGGTGGTTGCCAGGCAACAACCAGAACTTCCCTGGTCCTTCAGCGCCTAGCAACTGCCAGATCTTTCCTCCTGTATCCTGAGAGCATCCCGGGAAGTGGCCTAGGACGGGAGGCCTCTGGTTGCCCACATGAACGGGAGCACCCCTGGGGAAGAGGAAGGCAAGACTTTCAATGATGAAGATGAAACATTCAAGGATGAAGATGAAGGCAAGCTTTTATGGACCGTTGGTGAATAAAAAATAAAGGCCAGGGCATAATGGGGCCTTGACTTATCTCTGCTGACCCAAAGGGTACAACTATTAGTTGGCTTGTTCTATAAATTTGATATTTGTATGCAAGCTACAAGTAAGTTGGTGAAGGGATTGAGGAAGAGGCATAGATTTCCCAATTATTCTTAAAATACCTTGACTGGAAGGGTTCTGAAGGTGTCTTCGGTCGCACAAGGAACTGGGCCAGTCCATTGACAGGCAAAGAGGCATGCAACGAAGCATGGTGAGATGGCCCATGGGAGTTTTTGCAAAAGCAGCCATCTCTGGCATCTGGCTGAGCTTTTTAGGACAGCCTCTTAGCAAACCCAGGAGTTGCATAAAAGTAAAGGGAGGTTTAACCATCTAGAGCTGAAATTTTATAAAAGGTTAGATTTTAAGGAAGACTCAATATACTTTCAGCCGGTGGAGAGCTTAAACTCTGCTTTAAATTCTGTTCTGTTTGAAGTCCTCCAATCTGTTTTAATCTAAATTAATTCCGCAGAGTAACGTCTACCGGGGGTTGTGCTGCAGCCCGTTTTGCTTCCATCCCCATAGAGTTGTATCCAGAGGGTATCAAATGTCTTTCCCTTCAGATTTTCCTTCTGAATCCCAGTTCACCCTCAAATTTAAGTTTTGGGGCGGCTGATTTCAAGCCTTCTGTTTCCACCTCTGAACCTCAACGGATGGTAGAAGTTCTCAAGATCTAGAGATGAACCATTCAGCACCTCAAGGGAACAACTATTAAGTTTGGGTCCTTCAACCTCATTTTTTCTCATCACAAGCAGTTGGGGGCTCTCCTGCTAGTTAGAGAAACCGTCCCCGGACATTCGATCTGGTTGCCTCCTTCTGTGTGTGTTGAGTTGCCTTCTCAACACCATGGAAATTAAACCCTTGTGCTGGCAGGGTTGCAAAGGGATTAGGTCCTCCTTCAAGTGAGGATGCCTTTTTTTTTGTGTTTGGCATGTTCTCATGGAGAGGTAGAGGACGATGGACCAAAGCCCAAAGAGTAATTTTAGGACACTATTTGGCCTGTCTCGGTGCCAAAGATAGCAGACTTCATCCGGACTATTTCCAGGATAACCTTTGCAGATAATCCTTTCCAATAGATTCCACTCCATCGAGTCATTGGGAAGCTTTGTTCTTCTTGTAGAGAAATGACAGATGGATAGTGACATTGGTTGGGACCGTCCCATGGCCACCATCATCGCCGGGGTCCAGATTTGTATCTCTTTTTCTCCAATAGTTCACATCACCATGCATCCATCACTCCTCCAGTTGAGACTTTGTTGAGAGTTGTTGAGACTTTGGAAAAAGTGCGGAGAAGAGCAACAAAGATGATTAAAGGCCTGGAGACTAAAACATATGAAGAACGGTTGCAGGAACTGGATTTGGCTAGTTTAGAGAAAAGAAGGACTAGGGGGGACATGATAGCAGCATTCCAGTATTTCAGGGGCTACCACGGAGAGGATTTGAACATGGAACTCTAGCCCATCATGGCAGTGGTTCTTCTTGGTCTTGAGGAGACAAACTGCTTTTTTTTAACTTCCATAAAGTTGGCTACAACTCTCCCCAAAGCAAACAGCTGGCCAATTCATCCCCCTGAGAATTCCAGAATTGATCTCCAGAATTCCAGAATTGATCTCTCCAGATGTAGGACAGCCATTTGGCTGGACATTCCTCCTAGTCTTACAAGCAGAAAAAATTGCTTTCTGTGCTATTTTTAAGTCGGTTGTTTTTTTTTTGCTCCCAAGGGCAAAAAACAGCTGGGTATCTATTTTCTGTATTACAATCATGAGCATACTTGTACCTACTGTACAGGCGAAGGTGTGTCCCACAAAGACCAGCTTCACTTTTGCATCTTTTAAGTGCGTACGGGCAATGCTCGTTGCCCAGGCTGGTCACTGTTTAATGGATTTTTTATTGGATGGTGTTGGGTGCAAAGGACGATAGCAATGAGGAGCTTGGAGAAGATCATACCCCATTTATGGAGCAGCCATGAAGAGCTGTCAGAGCTGGATCAGGTGACCCCATTCGTTTGATGACTGTCTCATGAATCCTCTTCTTTAATTTTGGTCTTCTTTCAGGGAAGGCATCTTGCCAACAACCTGGTAGGGCAGCTGAGGCCAAGAGGACAGGGTCTCTCCCGGGAGGTGGTTCTGGGAAGTTCAAATCTGAGTGGAGACTTTGAAGGATTTATGAAGAATGGAAAAGAGTGAGCTGGCATTTGTTAAAATCTTATCCACCAGAGACATCCTGATTTGTTTGGTTTTACTCACTGTCCTGCTCCATAAATATTTGCTCTTCTCCTAGGCTTCTGCTCAAGTCCCACCTGTTGTTGAAATGAAACGTCACAGCTGGGTTGCTAAGAGGTCCCTGGCAGAGAGAAGACCATCAATCAGCTTTAGCTTGGCATCATAGCACTGCAGACCTTTTGATCTTCCCCCTCTCTCTGTGCCCAGTCTTTGCGCTGCTAATCTGGGTCAAACCTGGGACACTTTCCAAAGCAAGAAAAATGAATCATTGAGAAGCCAGATGGAGCAACTCCTGTGTAAAAGAAATGTTCCAGCATTTTCACACTGGCTCTTCTCTTCGTATTCATTATGCCCGGAAGCCATCTTCTCTTTTAGATCCCATCCACATTTCTCTTGGGGAGGGTTCGCTTACGTTCTGCGCCAGGCCAATGTTTTTGGCCTGGCCTTTCTTTCCAAATGAAACCATAACCGCACCCAGTCCTTACTGGCATTGGAACAGCCCTCCCCCTCCCCACGGAAAAGGCACTTATAGGTTGTCCGAATGTGAAATGTTATTCCAAAGTTTAGATGTGATGCCCTTTCCATTCTCTCTTCACCCCTGCAGAGTTTCTCCATTTGCCGAGAGTGACTAATGATTCATCCATGCTGGGGCTGTTTTTATTCTCTGGTGCCAAATGATGGGGAAATGTGAGAAGACCCTGTCCTACTCATCCTTTCCCTTTTAGGGTTTAGGGAAGACACTGGTTAGGAAAACTCAGTGGGGTCACCCCCTAGACCTAACCAGCAATCAGGCCAAACCCTGACCTTGAGGTAAAGCAACGTTTGCAGGGATTGGGTATGTCTAGTTTAACGAAAAGAAGGACCAGGGGCGACATGATAGCAGGCTTCCAATATTTGAGGGACTCTCATAGAGAAGAGGGGGATCAACCTATTTTCCAAAGCACCTGAAGGCAGGACAAGAAACAACAGATGGAAACTAATCAAGGAGAGAAGCAGCCTAGAACTAAGGAGAAATTTCCTGACAGTGAGAACAATTAATCAGTGGAACTGCTTGCCTCCAGAAGTTGTGGGTGCTCCAACACTGGAGATTTTAAAGAAGAGACTGGACAACCATTTGTCTGAAATGATATAGGATCTCCTGCTTGAGCAGGGGGTTGGACTAGAAGACCTCCAAGGTCCCTTCCAGCTCCTCTATTCCGATTGATTGAGTTGCAGACTCCCTGGACCTCAGAGCATCACTTCATGTTATCATGCCTTCCAGTCCGGGCAAAAAGAAAAATGGGGAGCAGGACAATGGCCTGGATGAGTTAAGAGACCCTCTTCAAGTCATTGCTCAGTGGCCAATTGGAAACCGATGTTTGTCAGAGGCAGTTTCAGATGTCACAGCAAATTTTGTGGAGGGCTATAATCTTAATGATGACTAATGGTAGATGAACTTTAAGGCCTGTGCTGAGCTGTTGGGGGCCGAATGTCTTCAGATGTTATCACCTCGAATTTATGTGATATGGATATTTAGTTTGTATTCTACCTTGTCTCCAGTTAACTTTGTGATATCTATCTATATCCATCTCTCTCTCCCTCCCTCCCTCATCTGTCTGTCTTTCATCTGTTCCCTCTTTCTCATCTATCTCTCATCTCACCATCTATCAGAATCACCCCTCTTTTTCATTGTTCTTCCAACCACCGGGCCCCTCCAAAGCTCTTGGGTGAATTCATCTCATTTATATTTAGAGAAAACTAAAATGAAATAGAGTTGATTGTGGGCATTTGAGGGGTGGTGGTGAGTTTCTTGTCCCCCCCTTGCCCCCGGCACATGCCTGACCAGCTGCGGGAGGGGGGCACCCCAGCACTCTCTCAGGGCCCCACAACTATTCTTTTATTATGTGGTGCGGCCCCCTTCAAGATGCTGACCCCGGCTGCTCTTTGCAGCCAATTCTCCAGTCTCGGGTTCCTTCAGGCATTTGAGAGTTTTGGAGTCTGAAGTCGGCAGGTATTTATATGTTGCGGGCGCTTCATTCCGCTGGCTCTATTCTTCTTTCTCCCTGGAGATCTCCTAAAATGGTAAGATGTTTTGAGTGGGATGGAGTCCACAGGCCGGGGCGAGGGGTGTGGACATGTGTGGGAAGCCCTGGCCCCCGTATTAATAGCCTCCCTTAAGTATACGCTGGTGAACTGAGTGGGAGGTCACTCAGCAGCTCCCTTCTCTTGATCCAGCCCAGCCAGGAGTCGGTTCGCCCTTACACCAGCATGGCTTATCACCGGCACTCAGGTAACTGGGCACCAGAATCGGTGATGCACGGTGGGAATGGATGAGGAAGCCACAGCTGCTTAAGTTCCCCGCGGGGCACATTTGCTTCAGTGGCCAGAAACAGGGGGGTCCTTTCCTTCCTGGCCCTGCTTGACCGAATGCCCCTCGTCCTGGATTCGGGAGGGCGTTGCAGAAAGTTGCAGGCGGTTGAGGAAGCTCTTAAGGCTGCAGAAAAGAACTCTGCACGGATTTCTTTTCCAGTTTTGGATGCAGGCGTGGTCCTCCTTAGCGCTGTAGTAGATGGCTTTTTGCAAAAACTAAAATACTTCTACAGACCTTAAAAAGAAAACAAGCCCAACGGAGGATTTTGGAGGAGGCAGCTTCAATCTTTTGCAACTTGGCTTGAATGGAATTCAACCCCTGATGCTTGGAGATTTCCTGTCTTAACCGGGACACCAAGCTAATCAGCTCCCATTCAGACGGAAAGGCTGTAAAGCTGACTTGATCCTCAGAGGTTTCCTACAGCCGTTTTATTCTACCTGTTTTACAGCTTAGGTCCACTGAGGCTCAGAGTCAAAAGCCCCGAGACAGGCAGTTAAGAGCCAATTCCTTAGCCATGGCTGGAGGGTGTGGAAAATCCCTGAAGGTCTCTTGTTCAGGATTTGGATTAATTTATGTTGGTTATTTGCTCCCGGGCTGGCCCCCTTTCTGAAAACATGTACCCCTTCCTCTGCCAGAGGACTTCCTTCCCTCCCACCTTGTCAGAGAAAATGTCTTTGGGGGTGGTGGGGGTGGAATTAAAATGGAAAATCGGGGCACGTGCAACGTGGCACAATCAGGATTAGATGCCTTCTGCACAAGGTTTTATTTTGGATTTTTGGATGGGGTTGCAGGTATGATGCTATACCTGAATGGCCAAGACTTGAATACCCAGCCAATCGAGAGCAAGGAGACACATCAAATGCTCTGATGCCCAAGTGTTTCACCGCTAGCAACTGGCGGCCTTCTGGTTGATCTCATTCTACCCATCTAGTTTGTAGGTCTTCCAAATCGCATTGATATCCCTCTTGTACGTTTTATGCTTCTGGGCCTCCCTTTAGCCACTGTGTTCTTGCCCCAGTTTATGCTGGTCTGTGGCAGTGGTAAACATTGGTTTCATTTAACTTGATTTGAAGGTTTTGTGCAAGGAAGACTCTGGATTCTGCACCTGGCCCCAATTATTGGCATCTTTTCATTCATTGGTTTTTAGTATTGGTGAACCCTGCTGGTCTTCCTGGATCTAACTTCTGTAAGGCCACCCACCTTCCCTCTTAATCACTTCCAAACCAAACTTCTCAATCATGTGGGCTAGAAACTTGTCTTAGCATTAACATTAATAGTGAATAATGAATAGTTGTTTAGCTGCCTGAGCATTCATCCCCTCTTTGCTTTCATCCCCTCTTCTGCTCAGATGGATTAATACTGCACCATTAGATGCACAGAAAAGAATGTATTTTGTTCTCTGATTCTGTCATGCTCCTTCCTTCCTTCCTTCCTTCCTTCCTTCCTTCCTTCCTTCCTTCCTTCCTTCCTTCCTTCCTTCCTTCCCTTCCTTCCATCCATCCATCCATCCATCCATCCATCCATCCATCCATCCATCCATCCATCTCTTGGAAAGTGCTGTCTCTTTTTCTCAGTGATACTTCAAAGGACATCAAAGAAAGACTGTAAATCAAGGATGGGTCTGTGCAGGTTTGCAGGTTTTCTCCCCAAATACCTCATGCGCGCATCTTATGCTCTTACAAACATGTAGAGGCATGGCTAAGATGATTAAAGTCTTTTTTATCCCGTGGCTTAGAAACGCCGCTAAAATACTACACAAGAAAAACCAATAATCTCAGAGGACACCATAAAAAAACCCAGCCATTCCAGACAGCAGAAACAGCCTCTTTGGGAACCCCATAAGAAGCTCAATTCCCATGATGAAGACCCTAACAGGATGGCTGTGTGCCTGCCCGGTGGTCTATTTCCATTTGGCTTTAGTTGTTCCACCACGCTTAACCCACCCAGCAAGCCTGGCCAGTCAATAAACAGCAGTCCACAAAACCTCAGCTTAATCGCTCCATCACTGGAGGTTTTTAAGAAGAGACTGGACAGTTATTGTCTGAAATGTTATAGGTTTTCCTGCTTGAGCAGGGGGTTGGACTAGAAGACCTCTAAGGTCCCTTCCTACTCTACTCTACTCTTGTGTAACATGTGAACTCAGCTCCAATTGCTTTCCAATATATATTTTTTTTAAAAACCCACTCCCGTTCAGTCCCCCTTCTTCATGTTGGAGGACCACAAAGTTCATCTCTCTTGCTCTCTCTCTCTCTCCCCCCCCCCCCCACAGCCCTCAAGCCTGGAGCTCTTTTGTGGCAGGTTTATCACCTTTCTGCAAAATCTCTGGAGAGACCGGCACACATCCTGCCCTGGTGCGGTATTCTCCTTATCAGCCCTGCCCTTCCCGTCTGTGGCAAGGGGGAGTGCGCCTGTACACCGTTGCTATGATACAACACACTTTATATAGCAAGGCCAAATTCCAAGTAATCCAGTTAAAGGGCAAATGAGTCAAGAAAACAATGGGGTAATTGCTCTATTTTTAGACTGCAGGAAGGAAAGAATGCGTTGGCAATTAGCACCCTGGCTAGATTTGCTAGCTAGATTTTCTTCACCTTCCCTAGTCTTGCTGTGGATTGCTGGCTTGCTCCGGTGTGACCCAGTGACCATCCCACGTTGGGGATCAAGGTTAAGGTGGTTGGACCTTTCGGCCAGATGAAGAGAAGGGAGGACGTGGTCCTCATGGAACCCCACCTCCAGCCAGATGCTGCTATCATAAATTATTTCTTGGGGTCAGAAGCTATTCCCACATTGGTGAGCTTGACTCTTGAGAAGCACATCTACAGGACTTTTGCACCTCTGCTCCTAAGTTCAGACACTCCCGACTTTTCAGAGTTGGGGAACCCTGTTGAATTTTGGGGAGCATGCAATGGGCTTCGCCAACCAGGGGCTGCAACTTCCCATGTTTTTCAGCCAGCCACATTCTTCTTTCCCCTTTATTCTTTCAATGCGCTTCTTGTTTTCACGGAAGACCACGGGAATAGCTCAGCCCAACTCTGCCCTTGCAAATAACACAAGATGGCCAAGGACTTTCTTTTTTATCGGTCAGTCTTTTATTCTGCTACTTCCCCTTTCTTAAAATTTATCTATGATAGCAGCAGCAGCTTTATCAAGTTTCCGGTCCTTATGAACCAGAACGGAAGGATGTGGTTAACAGCAACTGGGTCCTGCCCCCTTTTCCCGGATGTGGGTGTGTTGAGGAAGAGCCAGCTCTGCGCTGTTCTACTAGTCAGAAATAGTTGGATGAAATCTCCTTGCTTGGTTGACTTTTTTTTGTTGAGGTGGCTTTGCTGGGCATCAGGAGAAGACAGGGAGCTGGGAGTTTTTTTAACTCTCCCTGGCGATGCAAAAATTATGTCTCATTTTCTGCATTTAATGCTAAAATGGACTCTTGGTCCATCTGGTGTAAACACTGACCCAATGGGGATTCTGGACCACTTTCTCTTATATCACTTCACAGCTGATGAACCTTAAGCAAAAAAAATCCTGCCACACTATGTTAGTCTTCTCAGGCTGTGCTAATCCTGTCGCACTCAGAAAAACTTGTCCTGTGAGAGTGTCAACACACTGATGCCACCATGCCAGGAGGTTCTGGGATGTCTGCTGTTGGCAATTGGGGATGCAGTGGGCATGACAAGTAACATTGGGGTACATGAACCAGAAACACAAGGCTGGGCCTGGGCAAAGAACCCAAGCAACAGCAGCTTCATTAACATTTAGACATACCTGAATCTGTATGTACTATATGTAGATATAATGAAGGTTTCCACTCATGTGGCTTTGGGGTGGCATGGAGTCTGGGGCTGAGAACTGAAATGGCCAACAAGCTGGAGCGCCAGACTTTTGAAGGACCTTCTCATAGTATCATCTCTGCTGCAGACAAGGGGGAAGATAGGCCACAAAGAGCCTATGGGAAGGTGGCATCACCCAGGTCTCTTTGGGGCCCAACCTCGCCTTCAATGCTTCATTGCCAGGTTCAGCTGGCCCAGTTTTCCAACTTGCACTGGCCCCTTCATGAGAACAGGGCCAACTGTTGTCTTCGCTTCTTGGCTTGGCTTGCATAATGCCCCGTTGGGGTGCCCAAGGCTTCCTGCAGTCCTCAACTCTGCCATGTCTTCCCCACTGCAGGTCCCAGCAGCTACACCGTGGGCACCATGTCTGAACGCTTCGACTGCCACTATTGCCGCACCCCACTGCATGGGAAGAAGTACGTGCAGAAGGAGGGACGCCACTGCTGCGTCAAGTGCTTTGAGAAGTTCTGCGCCAACACCTGTGCCGAGTGCCGGAAGCCCATCGGGGCTGATTCCAAGGTAGGGCATGAAGCTGGATCGCCCCGATTGCAATGGTCAATCCCCCAAATTGCTAAAGGCTGGGTGGGGTCCTTTGGACAGTGGTGTGATTTTCTTGACAAGAATGGGTGATATGTGACTGTGCCCTTGGGAGAAAGACCCCTTTCGAAACGTTTTCCCTTGCTCTCACAGGAGCTGCATTTCAAGAACCGCTACTGGCACGACAACTGTTTCCGCTGCTTCAAGTGTTACACATCTCTGGTGAACGAGCCCTTCATGCTGAAGGAGAACAACAAGGTGTGGTGCAACAAGTGCACCACCAACGAGGATGCTCCTAAGTGCAAAGGCTGCCTGAAGCCCATTGTGGCAGGTGAGGGTGCCGGGAGGGGCCAGTCTCCTCCATGGGTGGCTGGTCTTCCTTAATCCCAGAGCAATTTCCACCTTGGGGAAATCTGGGCTGCTTCACCCATCATGTGAAGCCTAACATGACTTCTTTGGGCTGAATCCAGTCCACTGAATCCAGTCCACTATTCAGCCAACTGTGGCTTAGGAATGGAAGCTCGTGTTGAGTTGAGGTTTATTCCTGAACACCCCCAAAAGTCACTGAATAAATGTCTCGCTTAACCACAGAAATTTTTGGCTAAATTGTGGCCATAAGTTGAGGACTGTAGTTCCCTGTGATTGAAAGCGTAGACCTTTCCCGAAGAGGTCACCAATGATCTGATGGACACTTGGTGGCAATTCCAGGTTTTCTTTTCTCAGCTCTGAAGACCTCCCATCTCAGGGACCTTCCCTTTCTCTCCTCTCTTTGCAGGTGACCAGAACGTGGAATACAAGAAGACCGTGTGGCACAAGGATTGTTTCACTTGCAGCCAGTGCAAGCAAGTGATTGGCACAGCCAGCTTCTTCCCCAAAGGAGATGAGATTTATTGCGTTTCCTGCCATGAGCATAAGTTTGCCAAGGCTTGTGTGAAGTGTAAGAATGTAAGTCTTGGGCACCATCGCTCCATTTTTCTTGTTTTCAACCGTTTCTCCCTCTCTCTTTCGGATCTATAGACACGAGAACATGAAGTTGAAGGTCCCTTTGTTATTCAGAACAGGGGTCTCCAAGCTTGGCAACTTTAAGACTTGTAGACTTCAACTCCCAGAATGCCTCAGCCAGCCATGGTGGCTGGCTGAGGAATTCTGGGAATTGAAGTCCACAAGCCTTAAAGCTGCCTAGGTTGAGAAACATTGGACTAGGTAAGGGGTAGGCAACCTTGGCTCAGGAATTCTGGGCGTTGAAGTCCACGAGTCATAAAAGAGCCAAGGTTGCCTACCCCTGGACTAGGTGATCCTTCTGATCCCTTGGTCTGCAAATTTGATGGAGAATTTCCACAGGGCCTTTGGGACTCAAGGCTAACCTTTGTTCGACTCCGTGAACTCAACACTGATTGTCGGTTGGCTGGTTTCTTTCAAGGCCATCACTTCTGGAGGCGTCTCCTACCAAGATCAGCCTTACCATGCCGAGTGCTTTGTGTGTGCCACTTGCACCAAGAAGCTGGGCGGGCAACGCTTCACCGCAGTTGAAGACCTGTTCTACTGTGTGGATTGCTACAAGTCTTTCGTGGCTAAGAAATGCAACAATTGCAAGAACCCCATAACAGGTAAGCAGCCAAGCATCTGCTGAAGGGTTCCAGGTGAACCACGTGGTAGCTACGTTCTTTCTTGCTCTCCCTCTTCTGGAGAAGCAGCACCTCCCTAACTGTGATTGGAATAGAGCTGAAAGGGACCTTGGAGGTCTTTTAGTCCAGCCCCCTGCTCAAGCAGGAGCCCCTATACAATTTCAGACAAGTGACTGTCTAAACTTTTCTTAAAAGACTCCAGTGATGGATCACCCACAACCTCTGGAGGCAAAAGCTGTTTCACTGGTTGATTGTTCCCATTGAAAGTAAATTTCTCCTTAATTCCAGGTTGCTTCTCTTCTTGATTAGTTTCCATCGTTTATTGTCCTGCCTTCTAATGTTTTGGAAAATAAGTTGACCCCCTCTTCTTTGTGGCAGCCCTTCAGATATTGGAAGATTGCTATCATGTCCTCCCTAGTCCTTCTTTTCTTTAGACTGGCCATTCCCAAATCCTGCAACTGTTCTTCATGTTTGTCTCCAGGCCTTTAATCATCTTAGTTGCTCTTCTTTGCACTTTTCCCCCAAACTCTCAACAACTTTTTTGTAATGCGATGACCAAAATTGGTTGCAGTATTCCAGATGTGGCCTTAAAGCGGTACTAATACTTCGCGTGATCTCGATTCTATGCCTCTGTTTATACAACCCAGGATTGTATTAGCTTTTTTGGCTGCTGCCACACGTTTAAGTGATCATCCACTAGGACCCCAAGGTCCCTCTCACAGTTTTTGAGCCAGGTTAAGCCTAATCTGTACTCGTACCTTTGGCTTTCTCCTGCCTGGATGTAACACCTTGCTTTTGTCCACATTAAATTTCATTTTGTGTGATGCTCTCTGTTCTTTCCTTGTCTCCAGGCTTTGGAAAAGGCACCAATGTGGTGAGCCACGAAGGCCACTCCTGGCATGAGTACTGCTTCAACTGCAAGAAGTGCTCCATCCCCTTGGCCAACAAGCCTTTTGTCTTCCACCTGGAGCACGTCTACTGCCCCAACTGTGCCAAGAAGTTGTAAAGGGGGGGGGCAAAGTGAAGGGCAGCAGCAGGAACCGCTCAGCTCTTTCCTGTGAAGCCGCTTGGAGATCCCCTCGGCTTGCAAGCGGCCTGGCTGTAAGCATTTGCATTGTAGCCCCCCCCAGCCCACCCCTCTTTTTGCTTTTCTAAAGGATGTTAAGGCTCTTTTCCCCATTCCCTCTACAGGCCATGCCCAATAAAGGGTTGACTAACTGCAGCAGCCAGCTCTGCTCTCTTGCCAACCGTAGAGGTGCGGGCTACATCTTACACTTCCCACGTCCTGGCTTCGCATATCTGCCGGTTAGGGGACTAGCAGCTCAGCAAGGGTGAATTCACATGGCTGCTTTTTCAGAACATCTCCCCATCTCCTGGGGTAGATCCCGTGTTGCAAAGCCACACAAAACAAAGAGAGGCTTGCAAAGATCTGGCAGCTGGAGAAAAACAGATGTTCAAGGGGCTTGAAATAGGTGCCCGTTTGTTCTCTCAATGTGCACGACCCAAAGCTTGCTACAGCACCTGTGTGGCACCTTCTTTTTGGAGAAGGCACCTGTCTTCTCTTGGATGTCCATTGAAAACATTCCTGGTCCAGAGACTGGACTATGCTGCACCCGTGGAACAGCCCTCCCACTGGCTCATTTAGCTTTTGGCTCTCACAGCTGTGATGTTGTGGTCCAAGGACCCTTTTATTCGATGGTGCTGGTCCCAAATTATTTTTTAAATGCAATCACTATTTTTTTTAAAAAAAACAAAAAACAACCACACACACAACATTGTTGACAGCTTCGAGGATTTCCATTTCTTTTACCCAAATATCCATCCTATGCCTAAATATTGAATTTGTCCGTGTCGAGACAGCCGAGGCAACAAACAGCGGCTGCTCCTCTTATAGGTGCAGCAACGGCTTTTTTGAGAGGATACAGGTAGTCCTCAATTTACAACCATCTGTGTAGGGTCCGTTTGAAGTTTCCCAGCTGGCTTCCAGATTTGTTAAGCCAGATTCGCTTAACAACCATGTTGTTCACTCAACAACTGCCGTGATTTGCTTAAACTACCATGGCAAAAAGATCGTAAAATCATTTAAGAAAAAAAGATCGTAAATTGCTTAGCAAGGGAAAGTCTGGTCATAAAGCGAGGACTACCTGTAGATCCAAGTGGCCATCTGACTCCACCCTGAAATCTGCTAGTTCAGAGAATGGTTTGGGGCTTTCCTTCACTTGGCATTCATATTAATCCACACGAGAGGTCGCAAAAACCCCTTTTCCTTGCCTCTTACGCAGAGAGTGGGCGCATAGTATCGTAGCTTATTTTAACCAGCATTTAACTCCCGGGAACGGCCACGGCTGACTTTAGAATAACTCCACTTAGCCATCAATTTTAAGGTTGCCAGATTCGTAGCTTCTTCGCTTCACCCCGAAACGGGCCTTTGTCGACTTGGGCATCGTTCTCAGCCCGAGATGCCCCCCCTTCCCCGGGCAGGTGGAAAGACGAGGGTGACGTAGCTGCAATTCTTCTTCTTCTTCTTGTACCAAGGCCTTTCCTCCAATAAACAGGAAGTTACTGCTTATTCCGACTCAGTGTGGTATTTTCCAGTTATATTTGGGTAGAGTGGGAGATTCATACGGCATTGAATCATTTGAAGCTGGTTGACGCACAAACGTTGGCTGTTCTTTGCTAGTCTTCCATCCAGAGGGAGGCCGGTACCCCCAAAACCCTCACTGTGATGCCCTCAATTTTAAAACGATGGCTGTTTTCCTCTCCGTCACTTCTCCGCCCTTTTTTTCTGTCTATAATCCTGAAGTCAAGAGCAAATGGGTCTTGCCAATTCAGCCACTGACCGCTGGTCCTCGTCACCCGGGAAGATCACAAATGGGGATCACGGCTGCAGAATGCGGCAACCCTCGTAAATACACACCGTTTGCCAAGCGCCAAATTCTGATCCTGTGGCCAGGGGGAGGCTGCGATGGTTATTACATGCTGGGACCCGTGGCCCTTTCCTCGGTGCTGGTGTAACTTCAAACTGTCGCTAAACGAAATGGTTGTAATTCGAGGATTGTCGACTGTCATCCACCAACTCCCCCTCCCCATCTGCTATCTCCAGTCAAGTCCAGATGCCTGGCAATTCTCAGCTGAAGCCGGCACATCTACCTGGGCAAGCTTGGTGTCTGTCTGCTTTTATTTTCTGCTCCCAGAAAAGAGTGATAACAGTTGTTCCCAAAGGTGGTTTTTCACGAGGCAACTGGACTTTCTTGTTTTTCCTTGAAAAAAAGCATCTATGACCTGGATGACTGAGAATCTCCATAGACATTTAGTGATAATAGTTCCTTTTTTTGGGGAGGGGGGGAAGCCAAATACATTTTTGGGCCTTCCCCCGAATAACCACTCGCCTCCAGAGTCCTTCCAATTGCAAAGTTTATTAACAGTGCATACGTATTTACATACAACTAACAAAGCATTCAACGGGCCTCAGTTTGCGCAGAAAAATAGGAGCGTCATTGCATGCGTGTTAGAACGATTGTCTCTGTCAGAATCCAAGAGCTGTTGTATAAAAATAACATGTGTTAGTTCCACCTAAGGCACTGCTCTATGGGCAATCATTCTAAAACCTTGGTGAGGGGGGAGACTGCCGGGACGAGAGGACAGAGACTGACAGCTGGGTGACTGAATGGGGGCGGGGAGGGAAGGAGTGTGCGTGCCCGGAACGGTTCCACGGGGAGCCCCTGGGCTGAAAAGAGGTTGAGGAGCAGGCTTGTAGCGTAGGAAGGGGTGGGGTGGGGGGCTCACAGTCGTTTCAAGAGAACAGTGCTTTGAAGAGGGGCATCCAGAGATTGGGAATTGGGGAGGGGGGGAAGAAGAAGGACGTGTTTGCAGAAGCTTCATTCCTTCTTTTGCAAGAGAAAAATCGAGCAGCTGGGCTGAAAACGTAGCCTCAGCTTCAATGGCTGGAGGCAAGCGGTGAGTTAAAGCTAGAAGGGGAAAACCTGGAGTGCCATTCGCACGGGCCAGAGAGGAACAAGCACCTTCGAAGGGTTTAATACTGGTATTGTCTTCACACGAATAATACTTACATGTATGGAGGTTCAACTTCAAACCATGGGATGGTTTCGTGGTTTGAAACACCAACCATCCAACGGGACGGGGATGTGCCAAGCGTTCCTGCTGGGGCTGCTACGGATTTTAGGGCGGTATGGTTGTTCCCCCCCACCCAAGCCTGCAAATAAACGAGGCGAGACGCTCGGCGTGGCAAACCGGACGGCGATTCTGCAGTGTGCGATAGCTTAAAAAAGCCACAGAGCGGCTTGACTGAAGGCCACCTGCTAGGACACAGGTCGATTAATAATAATTAAAAAGGCAAATAAGGTCAGAGGCTCTGGCCCCCTCCAAAAGCAGGTGGCCTGGGGGTTTCTGCAGCTAGAGGCCTCAGCTAGGCTTGCTCTCCTTCCTTACACCCTGCACAAACACGCACCCTGGGTCTTAGGGCTGCTCTTCGCACCCCCACTCCTCCTGTTGGTGAGCCCACTGGGAGTGGTCTCCATCGAGCTCCCCTTGCAACACTGAGGAGAGAGGGGGCTGGCCCCAGAGAGACTACATAAGGCAACAGAACGGAGCGCCGTCCGACTTTGGGGTGCCCTGTTGAGTATTGAAAATCCCCCATCCATCAGGAACAAGCGCCGGTTTTCAAGTGTTGGTAGAGACAACCAAGGTGGGTGTTCTTTTCTTTTTAAGCTGAGAAATGATCTGACTCGTTCTAGAATGAGGTGCTGTGTTTTCAGATATTCAAGTTAAATTCGAACTAACCGTCGCTCCCCAAAACAACAAGCGCGAGGGGAGAGCGACAAGCGCATGACATTGGCTCATTTCTTTTTAATATACATCAGATTAAACCGTGTTACCTTGCGTACTGTGTCCAGGGCGAATGCTAGCTCGTTAAGTCTCTGGTACAAGCCACCTTGTTACTGGCAAACAGGGAGGAATATTAAAGACCAACCGCAATGGCCTGAACGTTTCAGCCAAAGGAGAACAATGTGTATTTGTTTAAAAAAAAAAAAAAAGCAAATCTTGTTAAAGAGGGCTGATAAAGCAACAGCGAAATGACCCCCCACCCCTCTTGCCTTGCCAAACGTTTCGAGGGGCAAAGTCGGATGGGTGGAGGTGGGCCGTTGCGGGTGACACCGAGAGAAACATGGAGGTGAAGTCGAGAAGCAGCTTTTTCAAATCGAGGCCTTCCTGTCTGGAGGAGACCTGGGCATCCTCGCGTGGCTGTCAGGAGCCTTCCGGGATCGTAGTGTTCACAGTTCTGTTCAAAAGCGAGAGGGGACTATTAGTAATTTTATGCATAAAATAGGATTCCAGAGCACACACACACACACACACACACACACACACACAGGCTGGAAAGAAGCATCTTTAATGACAGTAATAAATGAGCCTTACCTGATGCCGCCTCGATCGATTTGGTCAAGGAATTCACGCCAGCGTCCTCCTCAAAAGCCAGCTTTGGGCTTGCTGGCAACGGGGCGCCATCTCTAAAATTCTGGCTGGGCGTATCAGCAGCGATGCTCTCCGAACTAAGCCTGGCCGTCTTAGGATGCATCCCAAGATCAATAATTTCTTCAAAATTCCACCCGGAAGGTTTTCCGTTGAAGTTTGGGAGAAATCCGATGGAGCGATCGGCTTCGTTAACGTGCAGGATTTCCGAGTTCTCAACGACCGTTCCTTTGGCTGGAATACTGGGGAGAGGAGAGGGAAGGGCAGCCTTGTCCGGTTTCTGGAGAGATTCACCCAGAGACCATCCTCACCTAGTTCAGGGTCTGTGTTTCCCCCTAAAATAAGAGAATTTCTGGGCAAAATGACACCACTAACTGCAATTAACTTGTCGCTCAATGTTTTTTCTGCGGCAGTCGTGAAGCGAATATCACAGGCATTAACTGAATTAACGGAAGTCAATGCCAGTTTTCGGCACAACCGTTGTAAAATGCAGTCAGGTGATCGTGGGACTCTGCAGATGGCTGTAATCCCAGAGGGCCTGAAATTCGGTCCCATCCCTGGGGGAGAAGGGGATGACAGGAACTTTGAATCCAGACATAGTAAGTCGCTCCAAGGAGTCCATTGTAACTTTGAACAGTCACTAAGCAGCCGGTCGTAGGTTGAGGTAAGGTAAGGGGCTTACTTACTTTTAGGGATATTTTTCAGGGCTAGGGTCTCTCTCTAGGCTGGCTCTTGAGCAGCTACTACCGGCTTGTGAGCTACATGGAGATACCTGGAGAACCTTCTGGGGGTTTTGCCCTCTCCCCAGGACGGCCGTGTCCCTCCGACCTACCTGGTTTCCACCGACTGGCTGAAATACAGGGGGTGCCCATCCCCCCTCCTCTCTTCCTCTTCCTCCTGCTTATTCCCGTTGATGAAGACGTCGTCGGCTCCCACTGTGGAGCCTTCTTGCAGCAAAGTCCAACGGTGCAGGGCCTCGGAGCCGTCTTCCAGAGAAGAGTCCTCGCCCTTTGGCTTTTCTGCAAGGGGGAGTGGAAGAGCTGAGGGCTCAGGACCCCTAGTGGAGAAGGCTTCCAACTGCAGGCAGTCCCCGGCTTCCAACCACAATTGAGCCCAAAACTGTCGCTAAGTGAGACGCTAGTTAAGCGAGTTTCGCCCCATTTTACCACCTTTCTTGTTAAGTGAATCACCGCAGTTGTGAAGTAACTTGGTTGTGAAGTGAAGGTTGTGAAGATCACAAAAGGGGATCACGTGACCCCCCCCCGGGACACGGTGACCGTCATACACACAAGTCAGTTGCCGAGCATCCAAATTTTGATCACGTGACCGCAGAGAGGCTGCAGCGGTTGCGTGAAAAACGCTCACAAGCCCCTTTTTCAGTGCCGCTGTGACTCTGAGCGGTCACTAAATGAACTGTTGTAAGCCGGAGACCGCCTGTATTTCCAGACTGCTCCCCAAGCCCCGAGAGATGAGACTGAGGTTGCAAAGGCCGGGAGAGACAACCGAGAGGCCCGGCCGGCTACAGACGTGCTCCCTACCGGGCTGGTCTTGCTTTTCAAGGTCCTGCTCTTCGTCTTCTTCGACGCTCTCGTCTTCTTCAACGTCCTCATCGTCTTCCTCGTTCGACTTGTCTTTGTTCTGCGTTCAAGGAACGGAAAGCAATCACTTGCAAGGCAGGAGGGAAGCATCAGATCAACCCCACGTGCTGCTAAACACGGCGGGCGCTAAATGGGGACTGTCCGGGATGAATCCCATCAAGCAACTCGATGCAATTAATACCAATTACGCTGTGCACCTTCCACAAGCTCCCAGAAACCCTTGCCTCCCTCCCCCCCCGTGACCTGCTTGGTGCATGTTTCGAAGGCAGATCCACACGAAGAAGGGGGGGGACTCAGGCACAAAGGGCCGGGGGGGGGGGTTATTTCCAGAGTAAGCATCCCTGGCAACGTTTAAGCGGCCCAGCTGCCTGTTGAGAGACTGGAAGATGCTCACTTTCGCTTCGCTCTGCTTGGCCTTCCGGGTCCTCTTCATTATTTCTTCAATTCTCTGCAGGAAAGGAACTCCGTTGAAACGGCACGATGCCGACCCCAAACGCATCAGGGGGATTCCCAGGGCAGGTGGGCCCACCGGCTAAAATCCCTGCCCAGCAGGAATGGCAAGGAAGAGGAGGTTCTCCCCCGTCAGCCGCCTGGCAGGGATCCGGCCAGAGCAAACCGGGAGAGGGGAGGGAGGCGAGCGGGAGGGAAGAGACCATAAAGGCAGCCGGGGGAAAAAACAGGAATAAAATTCCCTGCCAGGTCCACCTAAGCAGCTGGTTGCTTTGGCCCTGTCTGAGAGAGAGAGGGGAGGGGGGGGGAGGAGGAGGAGGAAGGGGCTCCTACCTTCTTCCTCTCCAGCCTCTCCTGCAGGTTCTGCTGCATGATCCGCTCCCGTTCCTGCCGCTGTCTCTCGGCCTCTTCGAAGGCCCTCGCCTCGGCTTCTTCCCGCTAAAAGGGCAAAGAGGAAAAACACCGTGGTGAGCTCCGTGAAAGGGACCGACCATCACTACGGAAAAGAAGTCGTGGCAGCGAAAGACAGCGTAATACAGCTGAAGCTCCCCATTCTTAAGTTGGGTCCTGTGTTCGAGTCACACCACCCAAGAGGGAAAGCCCAGACTTCACTCAGCCACTGCCGCTTGAGGTTACACTGCAATTCCCAATTCCCTGGGTGGACACTGTGGCTCAACGTCCGGGCGTCCGTGTGTGTGTGTGTATTTCAGGCTGAGAACCCCCCCACCAGAGGATGCCTTGCAGAGACCCCCGACCTGCAACTGAAGCTCCGCCTGCTTCTCCTGCTCCTCCTGCTCCCTCTGAATCCGGTCTTTCTCAGCCAGCCGCTGCAGCTCCTCTTCTTCCACTCTCTTCAGCTCCTCCATCTCTTGGAGGGCGGCCTCCTCCTGCGCCTGCTTCTCCTGGGCTATCCTGGCCAGCTCCTCTTTCTGGATCCTAAGAGCCCAAAGCAAAGGGATGACGGGTCAACGCTTGCTTGCTTGTGCAGGCAGGCAGGCAGGCCATCCTTGTGTAACCTGGTTTGCAAACGCAAACGGCGTCTCCATCTGCAGCCTCGAGACCTCCTATTCCCAGGCCTGGGGTCGGGGTGTGGGTGGAGCCCCTGTTGTGGTTTTATGTTTTGAATCTAGGCAGATGAGTTTTGTTTCATGCTTTTCGCTGTTTTGACTGTAGATTTAGATGGGGTTTGCTGCCCAGGCTTTTGGGGTCGGTCGCCATGATATGTTAAATAAACCAACCAACCAGCTAGCCTAGCCTAGCCTAGCCAAGCCACCTACCAACCAGTCAACCCAACCAATCTTATCAATCCAACCAACCAGCCAGCAGAACCAAAGGAGTTCTGGCCTCCTGCGTCAGGCCTCCTTTTTAAAGAAAGAAGGCAATTTGGGAGATTTAATTGATAAGCCATTCAGCATTTTAAAAAGTTACGGACCTGCAGTGGAGAATAAGAAGGACCTTTTCTATTTTATGAAATTATCTTTATCTAGTCTCATAGGTGCCCAGGAGTGAGGTTCAGAGGACGCCGTTGGCTACTCAATCTCCCTAGAAAAACCTCGATTTAAAATCTCTCATGTGTGTAAATGCACTTTTGCAATGAGGGAAAACCTCTCTCATTTACCTTTCTTCCTCTTCTCTTTGAAGCTTTTCCTGGTCTTCACGCTCTCGCTGTTCCCGTGCAAGGCGGCGTTTCTCTGCCAAGATCTTCGATGCTTCTTCAGCGGTTGTGGTCCCTGGAAGAGTTTTGCCACTTGCATCTGGAAAAATAAAAATATTTTACCAATAGCAATAGCCCTTAGACTTATATATCTCTTCACAGTGCTTTACAGCCCGCTCCGAGCGATTTTACAGAGACATCCTGTTGCCCCAACAACCTGGGTCCTCATTTTACTGACCTCGGAAGGATGGAAGGCAGAGTCAACCTTGAGCCAGTCAGAATCAAATTCCTGGCAGTGGGCAGAATTAGCCTGCCATACTGCATACTAACCACTGCACCACCAGGGATCTTATACAATTCATACAAAGGCAGTCAGAGCTGAATTTGCTTTCTAATTTTTGTTTTTGTTCCATCGCTCATGACTCCACTCTGTTCAGAATTAAATCTGATTTACACAGGATGGGGAGGAGAAAACTTTGGTGCATGTATCCCAGACCCCTCCCCTCAAATTTTGTCACAACTTTCGTGGGTAGGCAACACAGTCTCCTTGCTGGCCAAGGGATCTGAACACAAACAAATAAGCACATCTTTGTCTGTTGAAAGAGAAGGCAGGGATAAAGGCTTTTCAACAACACCAAGTTCCACGTCTGTAGCCTCACACAAAGTTTGATGGTATGAGAGTAACCAAGTTGAATAATCCAACTTTAAGAGTTTAAAGTTCTAGGCTCCCAGGTAGGTTTCTTTCACTGCAAGAGTTTAAATTCCTTCAAAATAAGGAATTATTTCAAAATAAGAAAAGCATGACGGTGGGTTTTAAAATGTGGTGAGTTTCACTCCCTGAAGAAAGACCACTCTGGCTATTAGAGATGTTATTAGAAGCAGTTCTAGCCACAGAGAGATTTATTGGGTGTGATAGCTATTTTGCTGCTCTCTCAGGTTTTCAAAAATTCACCTCCTGGCACGAGACAGAAAAACACCCCACCAATTTAAATGGATAATTTAGGAAAAGCAAATCCAAGGGTGGGTTTTCAGTTTTGTTTTCAGTTTTCAGGTTTGTTTGTTTTTTTGCTACAAATATTAAGTCGCCTGAACTGAAGTGAAAAATAAATATTCAAATCCTGGAGAATTTACTGGAGGATTCTATGCTCTATGGCAGTGTTTTTCAACCTTGGTAACTTTAAGATGGATGGACTTCAACTCCCAGAATTCCCCAGCCAGCTCTCCCTGAAGCAGACGATCTCTGTGGCAATACATACAATTCCACATCATCAATTAAAGACCTTCCCATTCATTCTTTACAGGTTTTATGTGAAGCTCTTTTGTTCCATGACTCCAAATATAAATAACACGCGCAAACCCACATACAAACACACACACACTGGACAAATGAAAAAGCCACAGGTTAACCATTTGGTAGAAAGTACAAATGTCCTTACAAGGATTGAAACGATTCTTAAATTCTCCAGATTTCGCTTGAGATAAAGAAAGATCACCCTGAGGTGTTTAGTATTTATATACCCTTGTTGGTTTACCTTTTTTTTTTTTTAAAAAAAGACTGCTTTACAATATATTGCAAGAGACCATTTATTGCAAAAAAGGAGATACTCCAATGAATAAATAAATAAATAAATAATAAATAAATAAATAGATAGATATCTAGCTAGGGAGATTCCCCTTCTAGCTCCGTTTTTGCCACCCCCTGAGATACTCATCAGAGATCAACTTCTCTGGATGAAGAGAACGGCATGTATTAAGGTGAGGGGCCAAATGTTCCTTTGTAACCTGTAGCTCCAGGGTGAGGCTGGGGGCCGAGGACAGGGGAATGGGTGGGGGGAAAACCCCCTCTGAAGATTGTGCCTTCAAAGCAGACATAAAGGGAGGCTGAACTGGGCAGGAGCAGAACTGCTAAGCCTTTGCTTGGGTTAATCTGAGTCTTCCTGCTCATTCTGGGAGGAATAGCCAGGGATGGGAAGGGCCCCAAAGTGGTAGGAGAGGTTAGCCAGGTGTGTGTTCAGCACCCTGAGCTCCTGGCTGATGGTGTCCACGCTGCACCGCATGGTCTGGAAGGTGTGCAGCAGCTTATTCAGGACGTAGGGGTCGGTGGCGACCGTCAGGGGCCGCTGGGCTGGACTCCTCCTGCAGAAAGGAGGGGGAGGCGGCAGCCGGTAGGGCGAGCTGGGCCGGCGAGGACACGGGAAGCTAATGCACCGGACCGGGCTGAGGCCGGCTGCGTCGCCGTGCCTGCTGGCCCCCAACACGAAGTTAGGGGGGAAGCCCTTGGCGGACAGAGGACGCCCCAAGCTTGGTGTGCTAGGAACGCAAGGCGGGAAGACGCAGGGGGAAGCCCCCCGGCCCGGGAGGTCAGCCTGGGAAGGGCTGGGGCTGGCGCCACTCAAGGAGTAAGAGGAGACCCCCAGGCGCGCCAGGGGATCGTATCCGAAAAGCATCCTTCTGCCGAGAGAGGAGGCCGGCGGGCAATCCTGAGAGCAGAAAGATGGCGCGGCCGGAGACGAGGGACTGAAGACGCAAGGTGGCAACTCAGGAAGGAATGTGAAGGAGGCCGCTGACTCTGCAAAGGAAAAGACGGGGGGCTGAAGCCGGGGGCAGCGGAGGCCGCCCACGCGCACTTCGAAGGCTTAGCTCACTCTACGGGGCTAGACCTATAAGCACTAAGGGGGGGGTGAGCAGGCCCCAACCGCCAGGAACGGATCCCGGGGCCTGCTTAAAGCAGTATGGGTAGTCCTCAGCTTACGGCTACAATTGAGCCCCATCTGTTGCCAAGTGAGACATATGTTGAATTTTGCTCCATCTTACGACCCCTTTTTGCCACAGTTCTTAAGTGAATCACTGCAGTTGTTAAGTTAGTAAGCGGTTAGAATGTGTTATCGCAGGCTGACTCTGCCAACTGCCAGGGGTTCAATCCTGAGCAGCTCAAGGTTGACTCAGCCGTCCGTCCTTCCGAGGTCGGTAAAATGAGGAACCAGATTGTTTGGGGGGGGGGAAGCTGACTCTGTAAACCACTTAGAGAGGGCTGTGAAGCCCTGTGAAGCGGTAGATAAGTCTAAGTGCTGTTGCTATTGCTAGTAACCTGGTTGTAAGTGAACCCGGCTTCCCCCTTGACTTTGTTCGTCAGAAGGTCGCAAAAGGGCATCACGTGACCCGGGGACACTGTGACCGTCGTAAATATGAATCAGTTGTCAAGCATCTGAATGTAAATCACGTGACCATTGGGGATGCTACAACAGCCACAAGGGTGAAAAATGTTCGTAAGTCCCTTTTTTCAGTGCCGCTGTACCTCTGAACAGTCACTAAACGAACTCGAGGGCTCCCTGTAAGGCAGGGGGAGCAACCTCTAGCCGAGCCACCGGCTCCCCTGGAGCTCTTTGTGGAGGGATCCCGCCAGGGGTGCCTGGATCAGACCCCGTTTTTCTCTCCCAGCTTCCCCAGGGAGGCCGGGGCTGAGCACCGCTGCCTGCTTTAGAGGACGGGACAGAAAATGGGAGGGGTGCAGGATGGGCGTGATTGGGCGTTGCTGGCTGGGGAATTCTGGGAGTTGAAGTCCACCTATCTTAAAGTGGCCAAAGTTGAGAGACGCTGCTCTATTATTGAGCGCCACGTGCGAAACAGACCGGCCCCGAGACAGATTTGGCAACGGTGACGGGGGTCACCCTTTTAAAAGAAGTTTCTATTGACGTAGTTATTTTATATTTCACATTTCTAAACCACCCACCTCCCTCAAAGAGAGACCCTGGGCAATGTACAATAAACCATCCAACAGTATATAAAAATTAAAATGTTAACCTTTTAGAATTTATTTTTTAAAAAAATCTCTAAACAGCTCTCCTTACCTTCTTTGGTTTTAGGAGGACCCGCAGGCGACTCTTTCTCTGAGGGGGGCCCGGCAGCCCCCTGCTCCTGGGGGGCTGCGTCGTTGGCTTTGCTCTCTGTGTCGCTTTTCTTTTTGGTAACACCGAGGACGTTCGGGGTGAGCGGCAGGCGCTGAATCGGTGCCGGTTTAGAGGCCGCCATGGGAGAAGATTGCCGCTGCCGCGAGACGTTCGGCGAAGAGGGCGCTGGTCTGCGCCTGCCGAGAAAGGGGGACCGATTAGGAGGAGCTGTACGGCCAAAGAAGGCCTTGACCCAGTGCTTGCTTGACCCTTAATAAACTGCCTTCACAGCTGGTCCGGTAAACTCACTTAACAAACGTCTCACTTCACAAGCACCTGGCTTTGACGTTTTGGGCTCAATTGTGGTCATAAGTCAAGGACTGCCTGGATTTACAAGGCTTGCACAGTCCTGAAGTCAAGCAAATCAATGCGGGAAGCCAGATTCATTTAAGGACTGCACGGTTCACTTAACAGTTGTACAAAAAAAAAAAAAAAGGTCAGGAAATCGGTTGCAACACACTTAACCAGCTGGCTTTGCAACCCAAATACCGTCGTAATCCCAATTGTGATTATAAATCCGAGCCATTCTTCTGAACCAGCTTTGGAAGCCTGGTGGTCCCCTGACCTACTGGAAGGAGGATGGGAATTCCTAGCAGGAAGGCAGCATGTTGGGAAAGCCGGCTTTATTTATTTTTACTACATTTATCTTGATTTCTGTAGCCGTCCCTCTCAGCAAAAGAGTTCTAAAGTCCTTCTGGTCTTTAGGGAGGGGACAGAAATCAAGAGGAAGAGAGCTGGTTTTATCCCGAGCACAATGGAGGAAGAGCGGAGATTTTGAACTGGATAGAAACCTTATTGTTGCTGGAGACGGAGGGAGTTTCCCCGCATTCCCGGGCGAGACGGAGCGCCTGGAACTCGGCAGAGAGGGTGAAGGAGCTCGCCTCCCTGATGAAGAAGACGGGGGCTGCTTGGCTGGCTCAGTTTTCTTGGGGGGAAAAAAGAGAGAGGGGGTAGGGGGGTAGGGAGAGAGACTGTCACATCACTGGCTTTCTCCGAGAGAGACATTGCAGAGCTTCAGCTAAATAAATGGATGAGGCTGTTCTAGCAACAGCCCTTCTCTGTTGGGCAGAAAAATCTCCTTCTCATCCAACGTGGTGAAAAACAGGACCCACGTCTTTTAATTCACATTTATAGGGAGGCAAAGGGGGGATACAAGTTCCAAACTATCTGAAAAATACATTGCATTGGCAGAAAAGCTGGTCAGAAACTGAATTATTGCCTTTGAAAGAGGTGGAATATGGCTTCTAAAAACCACTGCAATATTCATCGTTCAAGCGACCACATAAATGCCTGAAATGTTACAAACAAGACACCCCCTCAAATACTTCAATAGTACCCTCTTACATCATCACTACAACTGCTACGTCACAAAAGCAGAGGGACAAACTGAAGCCATCCTATCAAAAGAACTGGGGGGTGGGGGAGAGGGTCCATTATCCGTGGGGCTCGTGCTTGTGCTATTACGGAAGCTGAAATCAGCAGCCAGATACTCAAAAGGTAGACTTACCTGTGCAGATCCCGAGGAGACATTGTCGGATGAGCAAGCAGCCCCCTTCAATCGGTCTGTGCTGCGACTACGTAATGGCACTTTGGGGAGGTGGGCTGGGAAGCTGGTGGAAGCTGAACAAGGACAGAGGGAAGAATCTATCAACAGCAGGGAATATTTGCAGCTCAGGGTAGAGCTGTGGAGTCCTTGTTGCTCTCTTCAGCTTGGGGGTTTTCTCGCAGACGTTTCATTGCCCAAACTAGGTAACATCATCAGTGCTAGAATCCCAGTCCCTTCTAGCACTGATGATGTCACCTAGTTAGGTAATGAGATGTCTGCAAGAAAACCACCAAGCTGAGAGAATACCAAGGACCCTACAGTCCTCCTCCTCCTCCTCCTCTTTCTTCTCCTTCCTTCCTCCCTTCTCCTCTTCCTCTTTCTCCTCCTTCACTCCGCAAACCCCACTCCCTTCTAGCACCGATGATGTTACCCAGTTGGGTCATGAAACATCTGCAAGTAAACCACTAAGCTCAGAGACCAACAAGGACCCCATAGAATCTATCAAGTCAAGAAGCTGATAGGTCGCATAATCGCCATAGTTGCCCACGCTTGATCTGAGGTCTTTACAGGTACACGCAAAGAAGCATTTCCAGCTGGCTGCTCTTGAAAGCATCTCCTGGGACACAAATTCCAGGCTGAAAGCAGACCAGCACCCCTTGCCATCTGCCTGCAATCTTCAAAACTCCTGATGGGGAGTTGGTCCTGCAAGGAGGGGCAATTCAGGATAGTTGATATCTGGGGAGGGGTGGTTATTGGCAAAACTGATTCCCTCCCCTTCATCCCACTCCCACTGATTGCAAAACACTCCACAAGGCAAAGTAGACCAGCAGATCCCATCTGGTTCCGCTCCTAAACAACCCCCAGCGACGCTGCCCTGCTGGATGGCTCCGGGCTGTTACCTGCGGGATCTTTGCCCTCAGCAGCAGACAAGGTGGCTGCGCTCTTACTCCTGGCTAGAGAGGCCTGGGTGGGGGCGAGCAGGCGACTGACGGAGGCGTTCTCCAAGGGGCTGACCAAACGGCGAGCTGGAGGACGGGAAGCAACGAAGGAGGAGTCAACAAGAAGTCCCCCAAGGAGATGGAGGACCCTTTTGGATGGAAGGCTGTCCACACCAGGGAGAAGGCTTAGGACCTGCCTCACCATCAACACTTGTGGGCATATAAATTTAACAAATAAAAATAGGACCCAAATTCCAGAGCTAATAGCAGCCTGCTGAAGCCTAGATGCGCTTGCCAAAATCAGAAGTCCGATAGCGCCTTAGCAACTAACCTAGTCAGAAAAAGCGCGACAGGATTTCTGATCTCTTGAAACCAGAGACTAACTTGGTCTCTCTCTCTCTCTCTCTCTGTGCCCTATGCGTCTCACAAGGTTGTTCTTGTGGGGAAAAGAGGAGGAGGAAAGAGTACCAGGTATGCTTGCTGCCCTGAGTTAATTATAAAAAGAAGAAAGGCGGGATCAAAATAAATAAAATGAGATACTGCAAAGAACAGCACACTTGCCAAGAACTGCCTACAAGGCACAAAGTCTTATTAAAAAGGAAAAAAAAAATAGAATTGAAAGGCAATGCCAGGTATTGTCCAATAGGCAGGAGGAGTCAAGGGGGAAGACCTGGCGGTCCACAAAGACTGCCCCTAACAACTGGGAAGGAAGGAAGGCAGCCAGTGAGGCTGACAGCGGGAACCAGTGTGCTTGACCTGGGCTAGCTATACAATTTGTGTATATAAAATCACACTCTCTCTTTTCCTCTCTCTCACACTCACTCTCTCGCACACAAAATCCCTGGAAGGAGCATGCCAAGTAAACTCTTAGCTACCTTTTTCTTCTTTCTGCACGTTTTCTACTTCGGGAAGTTTACTGCTCACCCTACTGAGCGATGAACTCCTCTTCTTTTCTGGTTCTCCTAGAGCCCAAACACACGGATGATTTTCAAGATGCGCTCAGGACGACTTAGATATATACAACTTCAGGAGATAAGTCAAAAGCCTCTTTCTTTCCCCAGGCTGAACGAAAGCAGCAATCCCGGCATCCAACATACTTGTTCCACTCCCCAATTAAAAACTTAAAAGAAATGCACAGTCTTCCTTTCTTGGATAGATTATCCTCAAGAACCAAATAAAGGAATAAAAAGGGGCTAATTTAAATCAACTCTCTCCAGTGTCTTACGGTACGGGCAGTTCTCGTCTTACGACCACGATTGAGCCCAAAATTTCCGCTGCTGATTAAGTGAGTTTTGCTCCATTTTATGACCTTTATTTGCCCAGATGTTTAACGAATCATTGTGGTTGCTAAATGAATCATGCGGTCATTAAGCAAATCTAACTTCCCCCATTGACTTTGCTTGTTGTAAGTCAGCTGGGAAGCTCACACATGACGATCAGATAACTCTCTGACAGTGCAACCATCACAAATCCATGTCAGTTGCCAAGTGTCCCAGTTTTGATCATGTGTATTCTGGGAACAGAAGTCCACACATTTGAAAGCTGCGAAGGTTGAGAAACCCTGGTTTATGCAAACCACAAGCTTTAACCTGGGTGAAACCCAAGGCATAGATGTAGTGATGAGATCACCAGACCCAAATGCAGGCTTCTGTATTGTAACCAAGTCTGTTTTCTTCCTGATGTATGGAAACTTTGAATGGTTTTACAGAATAATTTTTAAGCCACTTGTACAGGTTGGGCACAACTAAGATGCAGAAATTGAATTCTCTATTAATCCTTCCTGTGGAAGCTAATATTCCTCTGCATGGTTTCTATTTATTTTGATAATCCTGTTTATATATAAACGAAATAACTCTCATTAGCTGATTTTCTCAAAATTCTCATTTGCTGCACCTTTTTGCTCTGCTTGTAAAGCGTTGGCTAGTCCTTGCTCAGAACTCAGAGAACTTTTGTTATTCAGCCTGTTTAGGGAAGAGCTCCTTTTAGCTGTTCCTGCAAGGATAAAAAAAAGTATATGGAATTGTTAGCTTGGCAAACATCAACAGGCTGCATCAATGAAGGAGATTCTTAAGACGGACAGAGGCTGATCCCTCTACTCAATGGGAATTATAGTCCAGATGATCCCACTGATATCTGAAGCATGAAGCCCTTTAATTAATCCAGAGAGAAGTTAATTCCTAGGTTTTGATTATGGAAACCCATTTAGCTCAGCCCATAAAAAGGTGCTGACTGTAAGACTCGATGCAGCACTATGGGTCACGAGGTTCATAAAATCTCTTTATTAACATATGCTTGATGTGCTTTGTCTTGACTGTGCCAGACACTAGACCAATTTCTCAACTATTCTATGTACAGCTGGGAAGCATTTTGGCCTAAATCACACCTTCTGAGAAGCGCAGGGAATTTATACATCTCCGGGGCAAAACACGCACCACACCACACCACAGCAGTGAGCCAGGTCTGAAGTGGGTGGGAATAGACTCCTTCTCCTCCTTCTAACCCAGGTTAGATCAGGGTTTCCTGAACTTTAATGGTGAAGCAGGAAGGGAACTGAGAAATGGGATGCTTCAGCAGAGACGAGACATCTGAGCTATCCTCCCTCTAGTCTAACCCATTAAGTTTCCTCCAGTTCTTTGAAAAACACTGACGTAGACAGATACTGCACGCTATCGAAACATCCCAGGATGAAACTGCTCTCAAGTTACTCCACTTCAGTTTCGCACGTGCGAAGATGGGCGGGCAAAGAAAGCCACGGATGCTGCCCTTTGATTTCAAACAGGCAGCCCAGATTGGGAGCAGGGATTGCCACCGTTTTATCAGAAAGTGGCCTGCTTTGAGATCAGAGGAAGCAGAGCAGGGGGATTGGGAGAGCTGAAGGGGAGAGGGGGGGGGTCTGTGAAATCACGACTGGCTCTCTGAATCTGAAGGTGACGTGGGAGGCTTTCTTCTCTCCTAAGAGACGCCATATCCAGCAACCGTTGGGCTGGAGGTGCGTCGGGCTCACTGGATTAAGGAAATGGGTAGAAGGGATATAAGGGCAACTTTAGGTGGTCCCACAGCTGCAAAGGAAGGATGGTGGGTCTGGAGCCTGCTCTAGGGTCCGCTCCTTACCTATGCTGGGAGAATTGAGAAGTGCTGCCGAGGACGAGAGGCGCTTGTGGAGGGCCGGGTCGGGCTGTTTGAGGTTCAGGGCGGACGTAGAGCGCTTGTTGACTGAAGGAACAAAAAGTATTTAAGTATTCTCTCTTCTGACATTGCGTTCTTTGCCAGGAGATTGGCAGATAGATGGACAGATAATGGACAGATGACAGAGGGGCCAGCAGGTATTGCAGTGCTTCTGAATGTCTTAAGTTGTGATGAATGGCAAGGCGGCTTTAACACACAGAAGTCTCTCCTAGTTTGCAAGCTTTGTTAAATGTTCCTAGCAGGGATACGGGCTAGATCGGAGGCAGGCAACTCGGTGTTTTCAGGGGTCTTGGGCAATCACTTACAGACAGCCCCAAGACTTAGGATCGTTGGCTTAAGGACAGTTCAAAGTTACAGCAGCCCCAGGAAAAGTGCCTTACGATCTGTGCTCGGGCTTATGACCGCTGCACTGTGATCGCAATTTGGGTGCTTGGCAACCGGCTTGTATTTGCAGCCGGCTGCAACGTCCTGCCATCACTTGATTTGTGTTTTGTGAATTTTTTTCCCAGTCTCTAGAAGAAGAAAAAAGTCCACTGGGGAAATTGGTTTTGCTTAACCACCAGACCTGCGTAAAGGTTGTGATAAGTTGCTTCTGAGCGTGGTTAAAAGGGTGGCAAAATTGGGTCTGGCCATGTGATGACTTGACTTATGACCACGCTAACTGACGACTGAAATGCTAGTCCCAACTGTGGTCGTAAGTCAAGGATAACCAGTGGCTGTGTGTTAATTAGGATCTATGAAAAAAGCATTAGGGTTTCCCAGTCCTAGACTAGAGTTTATATAGAATAGAATAGAATAGAATAGAATAGAATAGAATAGAATAGGACAGAACAGAACAAAAGCTGGAAGGGACCTTGGAGGTCTTCTAGTCCAGCCCCCTGCTCGAACAGGAGAACCTATACGATTTCAGATAAGTGACTGTCTAGTCTCTTCTTAAAAAGAGAAAGGATAGAAAAGAAGATATTTTCTTTTGGAAGACTAGATTGCCTGATTATCAAAAGAACTGAAGAGCAAGGCTCTTTTCTATTAAATTATCCTTTAAAATTGTGTACAATTATCTTTTTAGAACAAATAAACAAGCATCACAGCACAAAACCAGCAGGAATTCTAAACACGGCACCACATGAACATTTTAAAGACAAAGCTGTAAATCCATTAGTGGATAAACCAGCCATCAACACAGAGAGGTCAGGTCCGACGGATCCTTCCTGCAGACTTGCAGCAGGGAGCATAATTGAATAAAAGGACATCCTCAGTGCAAAAAGAAGAAATCCAGAATGTCTCTGTGGCAAACTGAACATCTGAGTACTGCAGCAAAGCAACCAGCTATGGGTTGTTGTTTTTTCTGTAATACGAGAGTAGCAGTAGCAGCAACCTTCTTCTAAAATTGCCTATTCTGAAATTCTCCAATCAAAGGATGCCCGGGTGGGTAAGTTAATTAAAATAAAAGCAGGCAAGCAGGCAGATCATTCCAAGGGAACCCACCTTCAGCTACAGCTGGTGCTTCTGTGGAAGAAAAAGAAAAATGGATAGGTTCATGTCACAAATCTATCACAGCTCCACAAATCTATCACAGCTCTCTTCAAAGGAAGAGATAAGAGATTGGGCTCTCGGTCTTCTTAAATGATTAGCAACTGGAGGAAAGTTGATTGTCCTGACTTTTAAAAGGCATTTGTTATTCTAGAGTGTTTGACCTTTAATTCAATTCCTTCCAGGGTGTGCCAAGACCAAACCTCTATCTCAGCATTCCCCAATCCAACAGAAAAGAATATTTGTAGCTCAAGGTTAAACTGTGGGATCCTCGGCCCTCTCTGAGCTTGGTTTTCTTGCAGACGTTTCATGATCCAGGTAGATAACATCATCAATGCTAGTTTGCAAACCCCACCCACTTCTAGCATTGATGATATCACCTAGTTTGGTAGTGAAATGTCTGCAAGAAAATAACCTCAGAAGGACCTCACAGTCCTCCTCCTCCATACAAACCCCACCCCCTTCTAGCACTGATGATGTTACCTAATTGGGTCATGAAACATCTGCAAGAAAATAACCCAACTCTGAGAGCACCAGGGACCCCACAGCTCCCCAACCCAGCATTCTCAAAACATGTTAGGGTCACAATCCTAGAGTGTTCCAGGTAGACACATCATTGTTGAGTCCTTGAGACCCACCTGCCTTCCCACTGGTGTCTGTCACCGAGCCGCTCCACGACCATCGTTTCTGCCGCGTATCCAGCCGCTGGCTGCGTTCCAACGTTCGATGCACCACAGCTTCGTAATGCACCTGTAGATCAAACCATCCCGGGGATTAGGTGGCAAGACCTAGTGCTGCCTGTGGGAGAACAGACCATCTTTCCCCTAGGAGCTGATTATTTACCAGCTTTTACTTTATGTCACTAATTAGAATGCAAGACAAGCTGGAGACCGGAGACCCTGATTAGCCCTAATCTTGGTGATAAACAGGATTTGTGCTAAGATGCACATGTTCAGCTGTTAGGTGGCAGGAGGGCTCCACCGATTACCAAACCCACTTCTCTGTTTTCTATAATTCATGTTTCTCAAGCTTGGCAATTTTAAGATGTTTGGACTTCAGCTCCACGCTGGCTGGGGAATTCTGGGAATTGAAGTCCGAACATCTTAAAATTGCCAAGCTTGAGAACATTGGCATAATTTCTCTCACATTAGTGCCATACAATGATTTCATATATGAATTTATTCTCCTCAGTCTGGCAAGATTATTACTAGCAGGTGCATTTGGGGGAATTTTACTTCAAAATGCAGACCTGCCCAGACTTCTTAATGATTCAGAAGACTCTCACACAAAAATCTGAGAGTTGGGAAAAGCATTTGGCTAATTCAATCCCAAATCAGATGGCCTTTACAGGACCCTTCTGTGCCGAGTGAAAAGAATTCAGGGAGAAATTTTCGACTGCTAAGTTTTTAGGAAATTCCACCGACTGGCAGAGGAAAGAAAATACGGTGTGCAACCCTGGATGCAAGCCAAACATGATAAGACACAGGAAATTTCTCAACAGCTGGCACAGGAGTCCCTCTCTTCCATTTGCTTGCAAATCTTCCCTTGGCCAGGCAAGGAATTGCTCACACCATTGCATTTTTGTTGTCACGTCAGTGGAAACCTTTAGTCAGCTAATATGACCAAGAACCACAGGCTGCCTAATATTGCCTCTCGCCAAACACTCTTCTTCAAGGACTAAGTGATGACTTAAAAATCATCCATGCAAATGCCGGAGAAGTGGGAACGGTTCCATTCAAACCAGGGGAAAGGCTT